TGAAATTAAAAAAGGTATTTTAAATGGGGCATTGATATTAATAGTGGAGTTCAATGTAAAAAAAAAATTGAAAAAAAAAAAAAACAATTTTGAGTGCTCTAGTCTAGACTGCTCAAACACGAGAATTCTTCGAAGAACTAATACTCCAACCAATCTTCAGCTTCAGCAATCTCACTCTATAATCGATGAAATTCAGTTAAAAATTTTTATGTATTCTGATAGAACTCAGAGCTAAAATATAATTACATATCAAATATTTATATAAATATTTTTGTAGCTTGCATAATTGAAATTTATTTTTAGCAAACTCAAACCTCAACCCAACTAGGCTAGGCAAATATCAAAACTCAAAGAGCAATTTTTTATTGTGGTTGTTCCAATCAGTCGAGCAACTCATTTGGCAGCTGCATTTGATGAAATATTTCATTTGTTATAGTTAAAAATATTATGAATATGAAATGGGCATAAGCTGCTAAGTGGGTCAATATGATTCTACGATATTTGTGTATTTATTTGGTCGAATGATGCGCAAAATGCGTAATAATATGTAAAATATTTCTCCATTTGAACACATATCAAAATTCAATTAAATGCAATTAGTTGCTATTTATGCATTTTTTTTACAAATATTTTCTGGATGGCAGCACTCAAAAGCAAATTAAGAGAAATATATTGATAATAAATATTGAACAAAATTCGTGGAAAAAGTGATATAGAAAATATGTATATACCAAAAGTAATTAAAATTGGGTACGAATTAATGAAATACACTTGCTAAAAATATTTAATAAAAAATCAATTGGGTTTGTTTAAGCAATGTCAAAGTTACAAGTTCAAGAATCTATATATATTTTTGCTCTAAGTAGATTGAGCTAAACACACACGCACACACGTTAAAGTTGAAAATTCTTTATAGCTGGCATTCACTGTCGCCTCGGTGGGACAGTCGTGTGTTCTGTTGTTGGCCCCGTCGAGTGGCGTTTTCAATTGCGTCCATTGTGCGGCCGGGTCCACTCCTGAAGCGCAATGAACTCAATTCAATGCATTGCCATGGAGCGCATTCGATTGCCCAATGGCCATAGCCTCCGATTGCCAATGCCAGTCGCCAGGGCTCGACGACGTCATCGGCATTCTTCTCTTTGCATTTTTGGTGCTTAATTCAACACTTGGACGGCGCATTTGAATGCCTCGACGTGCCACTCCAGCTCCTCCAACTTCTCCAACTCCTCGAACTCCTCCAGCATTCAGTTCGTTTACCAATCGAATCGATTCCAATCGAATCGTAGCAATGTGCAACGATCTCCCTCAGCTACGTTGGCATATTTGTTGTCAAAGTCAGCGGGTCATTTATGCCATCGTCGGCGTTGTCGTCGTTCTCCTCGTCATCATCATCATCATCATCATCATCATCATCATAATTATCATCATTATCATTATCATTATCTTGATTTTGAGCAGCCGGCGAGCTGTGTCCACATTGGTTCAAACCAATTATTTGTGTTCTCTTGCTTTTGGCTCAGCATTGTCCGCACCTTGCGCAGAGTGGAAGACGATGTGAGAGAGGGAGTGAGATAGGTAGAGGGAGAGCCAGAGGAAGACTGACAGCCAGCGACACCCCCAATGCACACCCTATACACCTTATCCGTGGCTATTTGACTGTCTGCCGCTCGCCTCCACAGAGAGTCATAAATTACTAACGATTAACTTTTTGTGGGCCGACGACGAGAACGACGACGACGACGACGTCCTCTCCATCCAGAATTAATCAAGGAAACAAATGCTCAGCGTGCGACGTCAAGTTAGGGCGACGCTCGCTGACATTACATTGCGGGTCAACCCCATAACGGCAAACGCAGTCAAAGGTCAGCCTCGTAGTCTCTGCTTATTTATGGTCCTATGTACCGAAATCTCCTGGGCAATTGACATTGGCCGTGAGCCACACAGATTTGACCAACTCAATATATTTAGTGCAAAATATAATAAATCTATAGACATATATCAATTTAAATATATGGTATGTCTACCAGGCAAAGGCAGCTGTGGTAGACTACATGAGGCCATAGTCCACATTCCAGATTTAGACTAACTTGCGCAGTTTTATGTCTAAAATTCCTCTCAAGCCTTCAGTCGACACCATGAAGAGGGAGAGACTTGAATCAGAAGTGTTTAGATGGGTTCCAAGGATTCGTTAAACGTTATCGATCCATTTCCATAAAATCGATTAATATCGGTAACAAAAGTCAGCAATTTTACCATGCATAAAACAAATCTTGATAATTGCTAAGAGTCTTCTTCGTGAAGATTAAGAGACAATTAAAAATTATCTCTGATTAGAAATCATTAATTAGCAACGCAATTAATATAATCGAATGTGTGTGTGCCAAGCTAGAATTTTGTATGTTTGCAGCTTTTATGGGCAGGATTCGGTGATTGGGCAAAACAATTATCCATGCAAATTTATTGCAGTTGATGTTTTTCGTTAACGTTCCATTTAACTGGCGCTCGGTAGCCGTTTGATTAGCATAGAAATCTAGCGGCTCTCACTGCTAAAAGGAGAACATAAAATTAATTTAACGCACAAGTCGCTGCGATTTGATTGCGAGATTAAAGGCTTTAATATGAATTTACTTTCTTTTTTTCTTTTCTCATAACCATTGCGCCTAGAGGGCAGCTTAGCTTGCCTAGGAAAGTCGCACTCGCACTCGTATTCGCATTCCCATCCGCATTCTCATTCCTTTCCCATTCGCTTTCCGACAAGAAAMAAAAAATGAAGAAAAAAAAAAAAAAAATACGGAAACAAACAAACTCGAAGCGCCGGCAAAGGCAAGTGATAAAAATATTTATGTCGAGCGAAGTTAACAGCGACGTCTGCCCTGTTTTGGTCCGGGCCATCCATTATTTGAAGTACCAGGACCCAGACCCTGTCATCCTGCTCCTCCTCCTCCTCTTTAACTGACCAGCTGCCCATGAAAGCTTCGGCAAGATTTACGCGAAACAGAGCTGAGCAAATATTGAAAGAGGAATCGCTCTACGATTGCTACCTGCAATCGTGCGGCTTATCTCGAGGCCTACCCCAAAATTAAATATATATATATACAAAAACCCAGCCTGAACCAGAGCCAAAGCCAAACCCAAAGTCCCGGACTGTGAGTGCCATGCGATGCGACCCGCTTCCGACTCATTGAGTCGCACATTAATATTTAGATTTGCTTTATTCACCAGCAATTTGTTTCGATTTCGTTATGGAAGCGCACAGTGGTCCGAAATTGCTCAAAATATATGGCCTATACATTTATATTTTATTTTAATTCGTTTACTTGCTTATAAAAATTGATAGATATATAATTTCAGAG